ACTACGTTTTCCAATTCACTCAGCAATCGCAGCATTAGACGTTGGAAGGTAAACGGGGCTCCTGATAATCCATAGGGCATCCTCTTAAACTGGTACTGTTTCTCACCAACGGTAAACGCCGTCTTCTCTCGATCTTCCTGTTTTATTGCCAGTTGCCAGTATCCTGATCTCAAGTCCAGGATCGTGAATATCCTCGACTGGTGCAGCCGATCAAAAATGTCAGCAACTGATGGAACTGGAACGTAGCGAGTCAAGGAAATTTCATTCAGTCTTTGGAAGTCGACACAGAATCGGTACTTCCCATTGGTCTTCTTCACTAAGACCACAGGAGAGTTGTACGGGCTATGTGCCTCCTCAATCACGCCAGCGTCCAGCATTTCCTTCACTTGCCTGTTCACCTCAGCCTCCAGATGGATTGGTATCCTTCGAGGTCCATGGGGTCGATACGGTAGGCGCGTTAGCGAGATGGTGTGCTCGATCCAATAGCAAAACCCATATTGGCTGCTGTCATCCGTAAACAAGGGTTGGTATTTGTTGATCAGCGACTGCAAAGATGGGCTCAAATGTAACACAACAACGACCGACTGCGAAGATCTCATTTATCCACGATTAATGAGTGGTAGTGACCCGCATTCCATTAGCAACTTCCCACGCTTTCGATCAATGCCAGCTTTATAGAGCTCCAGGAAATCTGCTCCCAATATGGTTTGTTTCGCAACTGGTGACACGAGAAAGAAGTGTGTTCGCTTTCGTCCCCCCATTCTCACGGTGTGTTCGGCTATCCCATCAATTCCCACTGAATGACCGCCAACCGCTCTTACGATCGTGCAGCACGACTGAAGCTTTTCACCTCGCCGATGGTTGATTCGTGACACCGCGGTACCCGTATCGATCAGACATCTTTCCATCGTTCCGTCTACTTCCACCATTGCTTCAACCGCACTCCTGCTCAACGCCCCAAGTACCCAACTCTCGAGATAAAAAGAAAAATAAGGTTTCACATGTTTATCCGTCACACGAGTAACACAACGCCTCGGCGGACATTGTCTCTTCTAGTGCCCCGGTTTCCCGCAGATGAAGCAACATCCCTTTGTGCGCACCCGACAACGCTGAACGCGAAGTCCATTGCTGTTTTCCGTAAGCTGTTTCATCACCTGTTACAATTGGTCCATCCGTTCCACATTTTCATGAGGCGCTTCCTTCAGCGCAGCTAGTGGTTCGTCGCCCAGTTCTCGAGTAACTTGCGCCAACTCCTCCAATTGCATCTTCCGAGTAGCAATCGCAATCATACTGCGCTCCGCGGTTGGCTGTGGGAGGGCGGCCTAAAACTGATCCACCAGCAACTGCGCCACTGACGACCCATCCAACCCCGGCAAGGCGCGATCCAACAAGCTCCTGAGGTGCATCGCAAACACGAGGGGATCCGTCCCAGCAAAAAGCTGCGACGCCCTGAACCATCGCATCGCCTCCTAGCGGTACGCTGGTTTGTCCACGCCAGAAAGCAACACTTCTTTCGCGGTGGTCCACTCCAACTTAACCGGACCTCTGCGCGCCGCCTCCAGAACGGCCATCGCCCTGCACTTGAGGAGACTCCGCAGGGCCGTCAAATTTGCCCGGTCCAACTTCAGTCCTACCGCAGCTGCCACCTCCGCGAAATCCTCCAAAAAAGACTTAACATCCTCGTCTTCAACTGGTTCCGGTCAGGGAATCTTCATGAATTGTGAGGTCACGGAACCGAATGTTAGAACCCAAAG